TAAATATAGCGCGGTAAAGGAAAAAAGAGTAATTGTGAGAATTCTTTACACACACTTAAATATATATAACAGGTTCTTTTTACTGCCACACCAAGTCAAAATCGATTTAAATATAAGGATCATATTTCCTACTTTGTTAAAATAGATACAAAAGTATATCGTTTAAGAAAAAAAAGTGGGGGGGATTTAAGGCGCCTTTTTGCCGACACTTCCGAAAAATAATCATCGGCAGAATAAAACAAAGAAGTTGATAAGAAAAATTTTTTATCAACGACCGATTTTAAAAACACTAGATTACCAAGATGTAATACCAGGGGGAAAATTTAAGGAAGAGAGAAAAAAAAAACCTTAGGAGTACTAAATATTCTCTAGGTTAATCTCCCCAAACAGGACCAACCTGAATTACATCTCCTTCTGTCTACACAGGGCAGGACGTTGCATATTAATAATAATAGACTTCAAGATATTTAAACGGAGCCTCGACCTAGCTCTGCGTACGAGAGAAAAGAAATCGGGAGAATAAGTCGTCCTGCAATTGACAGAATTTAAAAGGTGTTCACCAATCGCTGAGTCATGAGTTTGCGAACACCCGGATGTAATTGGTTCGTGCCTACGCACTTTACCCGGAACATGCTGGACGATCCTCACCCCTAACCGTTGGATGGTCATGCCCACATAGTCGATCTCACACCGACTTTTGTATTGATATATAATTAAACTTTGTTGAATGGTAGGCAAAACATCCTTACGGTGAGGGGGAAAGCCTTTTTTGTATTGAAAATATTTCGAACAGTAACAGCATCGAAACACCGTTTAATTAAATTATTAATTCTGTCTACATATGTTTGACTCTCGGGATCAATCCACGGGAGTCAAAAATACACAGGACATTTAGGGGACCAAATCTCTTAGACTAATTGAACTTATTATATATATATATATATATATATATATATATATATATATATATATATATGCTAAATGTTATTTTCAATGAAACAAGTTAAGCATCACAATGGTTTTATTTATTATACTAAAAACAAGTTTTCCTGAGACACATTAAATTCACATTAAATCCCCCAAAAATAAGAGAGAAAAACTTCTTAAACTTTTGATTCATCAAAATGAGCCTTTTTTGGCCGCTATCACTGCTTCACATATTCTCGCATTCTTTCCACCAAAGACTGGCGGTAGACTACAGATAGTTCTGTCCAGCTTTCCTGTAAGAGTTGTCAGAGGTTATTTAGCTTTGACATTTAGTTCAAGTTCATCCTACACCAGTTCAATGGGATTTAAGTCCGCTGATTGCGCCAATCAAGACATCATTTGAAGAACGTGCTGTTCCTCTTTGCTTTAAATGTAAATCTGGTAGAGTTTACTTGTATGCTTTTGGTCATTACCTTGCATGAGTACAAATTCTTGACCCACAAGCCGCGTTCCAGATGGGATCACGTGATGCTGCAGTATGCTGTGATAGCCGGCCTGATTCAATTTACCCTTCACCTGATGCAAATCCCCGACTTTACAATTGGCAAAAGCTCCCCAAACTATATCAGAGCCTCCTACATGACTTACGGTTCATGTGATACAGGGAGTTGCAGCTCTTTCACTAAGTCTTCGCCACACATAAAACCTCCTATTTGATCTAAGGATTTCGAAATTTGATTCATCAGTCTAAAGAACTTTATTCCACTGCTCTATTGTCTAGTTTTTGAACGCCTTGGCCCACTGGATATTTTTGACATTGTTTTGATTCCTTAAGTGGTTTCTTGACAGCAATTCTGACATATAGGCCAGCTTCACAGTATCTTCTTCTCACAGTGCATCTTGACACATTTTTTCACAACGTTGGTTCAGCTGTGCAGCGATATTTGGCGCAGTCAGGTTTCTGTCACGCCTTGGTGACTCTGATGAAATTGTCCTCTGATCTTTTTGCTTTTCATCTACCAATCCTACTATTGGTTTTGTTTTGTCCCGTTTCCTGACGTCTCCTATCAGTATAATCCATTGTAGTTCTGGGGATTTTTTAATTCCTCTGCTTGAATAACCTTCTATTTTTAAGGTAATGATCTCTGATCATTATTCAAGTGTAAGTACACGTGTTTTAGACATTTTGTTGGGAAGAAAGTTGAAAGAAGAAATTTCGGTTTGAATTTAAACAAAATAAGAATATATAGTAAGTATAAAAGCTAAAGGTTAAAATAAGCGAAAAGCATGAAATATAAAATAAACGGAGTGCTAAAAAGTTATAAAATCAACTTCTCATAGTTTCATATGACAATAATCAATCATCACGCAGATATATACCCGTCTGATGATTGTTATATATATATATATATATATATATATATATATATATATATATATATATATAGTGATTTTCAAGCGTAACTTAGATGTGGCACAAGGCCGAAAGTAGGGGCACCCAGTGAGGATCGAACTACTACTCAGTCGTAATCGTTCTAGCGAGACAACCTTGCTAACACTTACACCACCGCGAGGTGCCCATATATATATATATATATATATATATATATATATATATATATATATATATATATATATATATATATATATATATATATATATATAAAGTGAAAATTGAAGTCAAAGCTTAGAGGCGACAGGCTGTTTCATGCTAGAGGCAATCGTGGCCTGACGATTGCTTCTAGCATGAAATAGACTGTCGCCTCTAAGTGTTGACATCAATGTTCACTTTTATATTTACACACGCTCTATCTGTAATATTGAGCACTTTATCCCATAAATATAGCACACCATAAGAGTACATTTCTTAATATATATATATATATATATATATATATATATATATATATATGTGTGTGTGTGTGTGTGTGTGTGTGTGTGTGTGTGTGTGTGTGTGTATGTGTTTGAAGAAACAAGAATATAAGGTATGTATATTTACAGGATAAAATGCTCAATATCAGAGATAGAGTCTTTCATGCTGAAGCCAATCACCAGACCTGATTATTGCGTTTAGTATGACGTAGTCTGTTGCCTCTGAGTGTTAACTTCAATGGTTACTTATATTTATACTAGTAGGCAACGTAAGCTATATCCACTACTTGAAATCTTTGAAACAAGCATTTTAAATGAACATTTCATTCATAAATTGTTTTTTTTATAGTTAAGGAAGTTTCATAAATAGAAGCTAACTTGTTGAAGGCCAAGTAAAATGCAAATTTAAAAGACATTTCTGCACTATATAAGACGATACTCCTAAGCACAACTATTTTTGATATGAAAATCAAAACAATCCTCGAAATAAAGAACAGAAATGAAGGACAATTAATTAATGAAATAAACTTTTTTAAAAATCAATTTGCAAAGAAGGGTGGTATTGCCTCGAAGTAGAATAATATATAATAAGGATATTAAGTTTTTAATGTGTAAATTACTATAAAGTAAAGCTGGGGCTTTTTAATCTTAGAATTCATGGCAGAATTGAGCTCCAATTTCGCATTTGTTCATATAGATTCCATAATGTAGGTTTTAATTAATTAGCTCTTATGTTTCTCTAACTCTTCAAATATTGAATGTATAACTAATTCTAATTTCTATTTTCCCATCTTTATACTATATTAATGCAATCTTAAAAATTTTCCCCGGTTCTGTCACCCATGAAATAAAAATAATTGTTTGTACGGAAAATAAGGATCTACGTACACCAACTCGTTTTTAAATCAAGTGGGCGCAGAAGAATTATCGTTGAACTTTTAAAAGGGAAACATAAACATTAATTCAATACTGAAATGCAACGATCAATTTTGAGTTCTTCTGTAATCTATTGATGCCTATCGCATCTACTCCTCCCTAGTTTTCGTGACGATGTTCGAACCAAGAATCATTCACAGGAGCTAGCTTAAATGCCGTCCGATAGAGCTGCTTTTATGCTAGTTCATTATAAAACTCGCAATGCAATTTTGTTTAAAAAAAAGGAAAATAAGAGTTACTCCCCTTGATATATGAAAGCAACGATAATGGCTAGTATAATATATTAATATATATTTTTAATTTCGCATAATCTGGTAACACTGAATCTGAGCCCAACGAAAATGGTTCCCTGTGCCTAACTTTTCTTGGGCTTTTGAATGAGCTATGAATCATTGAAATCGGACCAGTGGGAGCAGAGAGTTAACTGGATACACACACATGCACAAACACACTCTCATACACAGTACTTACATATATATATATATATATATATATATATATATATATATATATATATATATATATATATATATGTGTGTGTGTGTGTGTGTGTGTGTGTGTGTGTGTGTGTGTGTGTGTGTGAAAAGTGTATATAAATATAAATAAATATATATATGTCTAATTATTTATATATTATATGCGCGGTACTTATTAGAAAGCGCTCAATATCAGAGATAGAGCTAACATATTTGGTTGGATGTGAGTTTGTGACCCTGGGTTTCACGCTTTAGCGAGCGTCAGACAAACTGATTAATGTTTTAAAAAATTTGGGTTTATGTCGATTGCGTGTATTGGTGTTATTGTGGAAGTGGTGGGGGAAACTTCGTTGCATATGTCATTCATCGTACTAACGCAAACATCGATGTATGCAGACACATATACATACTTGGTCGTCCGTCGGGACTCATACATATATAAACATATGTGGGCAGTTTCGGATATGACATATGTATGTATACAGGTGGTGTTATGTCTATACATACGCATTTGTATGTTGAAATGTTGAAATTTAAACATTGGAAGTGTGGCGATCCGTGTAGGTGAAACATTGGTAGGTTTATCTGGCTCTTTAGGTTTATATATATATATATATATATATATATATATATATATATATATATATATGTGTGTGTGTGTGTGTGTGTGTGTGTGTGTGTGTGTGCGCGCGTGCGCGTGGTTGGATTTATGAGTGAAATTTTTCCCAATAACTTGTAAGTACGTTCAGTGAGCATTTTTTTATTAAGTAGAACGTATCATACTGGTTT